TTCGATATTTCATTAAAAAACTCTTTCAAGTAGGTTTTCCCTTTTCCGAAATTGCTAAAGTTTTTACTTCTTAATGAACCATTTAATTTACTGAAAAGGTCTTTCGATAGCAAGAGATCTTGTGAATAGGGTAGATGAGGTAAAAGTTCGAATCCAAGCTCTATTAATTTTCTATTTATTATTTCTGGAACATTTCTTGTGAAATTGTTATCTTGAACTGAAATTTGTTTGCTTTAAATTTTGGTCTTGACGGTCTTGCGTAGTTTTTGTTGAACTTTTGCAGTAATTAAGAATACACTATCACACCATGATTATTCATCACAAACAATAAGTCTGTAAACAAACGATAATTTATAAGTTTGGTTTGTACATTTATACTTGTAATTATTAAATGAGTAAATTAAACTTACAATTATAGAAAACTACTAAGTGCTCTCGATAATTTTACTGTTTCTATTTTCTCTTAATATATGCACTTTGTTATCAACAAAACAATTAAATATAAATATCACAATAAAAACTATAAGTATTTCAAACTTAAACTGACTACAGCAGTTATTTACCATTCTGAAGATAAACACGGCTGCGCGTTGCATCGGAAGCGGTCCCCCAAAATTTTCAGCCAATAGCAACTCCAGCATTATTAAAGCACTGATGAGTACTCCCATCTCGTGCGTGTGTGAGCACGCCTCGCACATAACGATGTCACACGCACACACGAAATGTTACGTATCGGTGTGTCGGGAAATCGAAAGAAGCCGAGGGAAGCCGAGTTTTACACATTGTTCAAATGTGTATTGTGTTCATGTATTTCTCCGCGACGCGTGGTGGGGGTATTATTTCTCCTCTGTCGTGCAGCTATCTCGGCTTCCCTCGGCTTCTTTCGGTTTTCCGACAAACCGACAAGTAAATTTTGTTGTGCGCGAGGCGTGCTGGGCTCAAGAAAAGGGGTAGAAATGTTCCGCGATCTGGCTTCAGTGGTGCCGACTCGTGCTCAGTCTTTAAATGTTCTTAGATCGTCGGCTGTTAATGTGTTAAGTAAAAATCATTTATGCATACCTGAAATTATCAACAAATGTATGTAATTATTGCTTATTAAATTATTTATTTAAAATTTGACGAACAAGCAAACTAATGAATTGAAAAAATTTTTAAATAATGATATATATTTTATATTGTTTATTAATTAATAAATTAATAACAATGAAAAATGACATTTCTTATTCAATGTAAAGTATATAACGCATTTATAGATCTAAATTTATGAAGAAATAGTTAAAAAAAAATTGTTTTTCTATTATAAAATAATGTGTTATCGATAAAAATAAATTGAACTTTATTAATCAATCAACTTTGCAATACTTGTTGCCATTTTATTAATTTACAGAAATTTAAGAAAAATATAAAATGAATAACAATTCCAATAGTAAATAATTAAATACTCTGTGAAAATAATTCTTTATAAAACATTTATGAACGTAGAATTTGTTTATAACACAATAGTAAATACATTCGCATATTAATTCTAAATACTTGACAATAGTTTATATGTTGGAAACTAACGTAGTTATGAACTATACATGTTAAAAAAAAAAAAAATAAACTACATATATGTATTGTGTTTTCTTTTACAAATACGCAATCGCTAAGGCAATGATCAACGGTTTTCCGTCACGTTAATAAGATTACACTGATCGTCATATCGACCTAATGGCAAAAATAAGTATTATTGTATTTAAATTTTTTTTGGCAAGCGAAATAAATATTATTCTTGATAATAATTTCCATTATTTTCTAACACTTTACGCCAGAGACAAGGCAGTTCTTCGATTTTTTTTTATAAAAGGAGGATATCGATAGTTCAATGAAATACTTTTCCAAGTAGAATCTCATTTCACCGACATTGTTTAATTTTCTACATTTTAATGAAAGTTCAAACATTTCGAGGAAGTTACTCGATGGCGAGAGATCTAACGAATAGGGTGGATGAGGTAAAAGTTCCAATCCAAGCTCTATTATTTTTTCCTGTATTATTTTTGAAGCATTTCGTGTCGTGTTATCTTGTTGAAGGATCCTGTTTTTTCCATTGACGAACAAAGATTTTCTTTCTATTAGCTTTTGTTTCATTCGTTCGAGTTGATTGCAATACATTGTAGCTGTAACAGTCTGATCAAGCAATTCATAATGTATGATTCCAAAATAATCCCACCACACACAAACAAGTATCTTCTGTTTTGTTATTGATGATGATGGTTCAGGTGTCGAAACAGTTGCTTCTCCGGAAGAAAGCAATTGTTCTTCTTGTACAATACTATTGTATTCCACCCACATCTCTTCTGCAATTACCAATCGTGGCAAAAACGTTATTGGCAACGGTACTGTCTCGGATTCATACCGAGACAAAAGAAACGCGCAGATGTTACGCCGTTGATGAAATAGCGTCTCAATCAATGCTCCAGGAACCCACATTCCTTTCCTCCTCACTCTTCCCATGCGATGAAGATCACGATAATTGTTTTCCCTGAACAGCCCATCTTCAATGATAATTCCTGAACTGTTTGACGAGGATTTAAATCCAATAACTCCTCCAATAAATGATCATTAGTCATTCTTTTTGGGACACATTCAAAATTCCTATTTCCATTTGAGAACCTGAGAAACCACATATGACACTCTCCTTGTGTCGAAACCTCCCCATAAATATCGTTTATTATTTTCACTGTTTCGGCTACAGTTTTTCCTTGATCGAACAAAGATAGCATACATCTATGGAAGTGTTCTTTTAATTTTTGTGACCCTGACATATTTCCTCCTTGGTAGAAGAAAAATTTTTTAACCGAAAGATCAAATTTACAAGCAAGATTGAACGTAATAACAAAATTTCCGTGTTTGCAGGACCGTGTTTCGACACAAACCAAAATGAAATTTAAATTTTTTTTTTGATAAAGTTTATCAACTAAATCAATCTAGTTTAGTATTAAACTAACGTTATTTCAAATATTATCATTGTTAGATCTATGAAGTATTGTAAATAAAACTAGTACGGATCATATTTGAAAAATAAACAGTAATTTATAAAACCCGTTTTAATTGTTTGTTTACAGTTTTATTAAGTTCTTAACGCAACTTTTTTTTTTTTGAAAAAAAAAACCGGCCAGAAAAAATCAACTTTTTTTTTTATGTAAAAGAATACAATTAAAAACATTGCCTTCGCAAAAAAATTAAAAAAAAGTACAAAATTAATCAAAATTTTTATAGCAGCATAGAATACAACGCCGCTCGGAATTAACCCTAGTTAATCTATTTTGGATATTACAAAAACATAAAAACTATGATCAACATTTTTGTTGTCACAATTTTATCTTTCCCATATGATTAATATACAAATTTTAAAGTTAATTCTTGTTTTCTTTGTGTCTTGTGTCTTTGTCTTGTAAAGAAATAGAATCTATACTAATAGCAAACCAGTTCATCTTATTTTATTGAAAAATATTCATAGTTATACTAATTCTGTCCAATGAAAATTTTACCTTATCTTATATTTTACAATTTGTATAAGATATCTTTTTTTTAAGTAAAATTACATAGTGTTTAAAAACAATTGGAAAAGCTTAGGACAGGTTATATTTTATAAGTCTTAATTTTACAAAAAAGATGCTGTGTGGAATAAAAATGTCGAAATATAGTGAAATATTAACTCAGGTAGAAACAGCAAACTTGAATTTAAACATTTTATTAAACAAAATGTCAAAGATGAGAGGCAATTCTTTATAAAAATCTGTAACATTAAAACGGAGATATATTTATTTATATATGAATATATATTGAATTATTTAAAAAATATTATATATTTCAGTTAGGTGTACCCAAATACAGTTGTACATATTATCACTGTATAAACCGCAGTGTTTACAAATACTTGAAATGTTAAAAACAATAGAATATAATCAAAATGCTTTTATTGAAGTTCCTTTTGTAGAAAAATTACATTTGTTATTCAATAATACATCATAAATTATAGAAAGTGATTGTTTCATTCAAATATTTGAAATATAAATATAGATATTGTTTATATCATTTAGTTTTTTCATATTTGTACTGTTCTTTATGTTTAGATTAAATATAACTACAAATACATTATATTTAGATTACAGGATTTATAGGTAAAATATAATTATCACATCAATACAAATGAATGATTAAATATCACAAAAAACACAAATAAGTCATATTATAATTCATACATTTAATTTATTTTAACAAATTTTGCATTATAGACGTTGATGTATTTTTATGTTCTGTATTAATGAAAGGCTGATAATACATTTAAATAACGAGAGAATTTGTATCCTATTACAGATTGAATATTGTTTATTGTTTCAGGCTGAACTGTGAATACGGAATGTAACAAGATGCTGATATTTCCTATATTTATCGAGGTAAGTGCCAAATCATTTTCGCCGTCTTATTGTTACGATATAATCGTTATCCTACCCTTTTCTCCTCCATTCTTCTATTTTGTCAACAACGGTGACCAAAGAACGATTTTGTTAGCTGATGGTTTCCTCATGAATGGATGACTGAAAATAATTTGCGACTTATAATAGGGGTTTTTCTTTCCAAATTTACGCTGCCATCGGTGAGATTCATGCTGGAGAACAAAAGTCATTTTTATTATAATGTTAATATTATGTACTGTTTTTGAAGGTGTTTACACATGAAAATACAAATGATAGATATAAATACGCAGTTATATATGCATCTGCATGTGTTATGCAGGGGGCCGAAATTAAAACTTAAGTTTTTCATATATATATCTGCATTTACACAATATTCTCCATTATTTTTTAACACTGCATTCCAGACATCAGGCAGTTGTTTGATTTCAATTGAACAAAAATATTTCGATATTTCATTAAAAAACTCTTTCAAGTAGGTTTTCACTTCTCCGACATTGCTAAAGTTTTTACTTCTTAATGAACCATTTAATTTATTGAAAAGATCTTTCGACAGCAAGAGATCTTGTGAATAGGGTGGATGAGGTAAACGTTCGAATCCAAGCTCCATTAATTTTCTATTTATTATTTCTGGAACATTTCTTGTGAAATTGTTATCTTGTTGAAGTCTCTGGGATCACTGCTCC